AAGTAGGATGGTTAACTGGGATTAACTAGGATTCTTAACTGGGATTAAGTAGGATGGTTAACTGGGATTAACTAGGATGGTTAAATTGGATTATCTAGGATTGTTAACTGGGATTAGCTAGGATGGTTAAATGGTATTAACTAGGATTGTTAACTGGGATTAACTCGGATAGTTAACTGGGATTAACTAGGATTGTTAACTGGGATTAAGTAGGATTGTTAACTGGGATTAACTAGGATTGTTAACTGGGATTAGCTAGGATGGTTAAATGGTATTAACTAGGATTGTTAACTGGGATTAACTCGGATAGTTAACTGGGATTAGCTAGGATTGTTAACTGGGATTAACTAGGATGGTTACCTGGGATTAAGTAGGATGGTAAACAGACTGGATTACTGGGATTAACTAGGATTGTTAACTGGGATTAGCTAGGATTGTTAACTGGGATTAGCTAGGATTGTTAACTGGGATTAACTAGGATGGTTACCTGGGATTAAGTAGGATGGTAAACAGACTGGATTACTGGGATTAACTAGGATTGTTAACTGGGATTAGCTAGGATTGTTAACTGGGATTAGCTAGGATTGTTAACTGGGATTAACTAGGATTGTTAACTGGGATTAGCTAGGATTGTTAACTGGGATTAACTAGGATGGTTACCTGGGATTATGTAGGATGGTAAACAGACTGGATTACTGGGATTAACTAGGATTGTTAACTGGGATTAACTAGGATTGTTAACTGGGATTAACTAGGATTGTTAACTGGGATTAATTAGGATGGTTACCTGGGATTAAGTAGGATGGTAAACAGACTGGATTACTGGGATTAACTAGGATTGTTAACTGGGATTAGCTAGGATTGTTAACTGGGATTAGCTAGGATTGTTAACTGGGATTAACTAGGATTGTTAACTGGGATTAGCTAGGATTGTTAACTGGGATTAACTAGGATGGTTACCTGGGATTATGTAGGATGGTAAACAGACTGGATTACTGGGATTAACTAGGATTGTTAACTGGGATTAACTAGGATTGTTAAATGGTATTAGCTAGGATGGTTAAATGGTATTAACTAGGATTGTTAACTGGGATTAACTAGGATTGTTAACTGGGATTAACTAGGATTGTTAACTGGGATTAAGTAGGATTGTTAACTGGGATTAAGTAGGACGGTTACCTGGGATTACTTCAGCTGTTTTACAGACAGTAATCTCAGTTGATGCCAGAGTAATGGATTGTTTCTCTGTCTCTGCAGATCGTCGTCAGTGGTGTGCCATTGGTGTTTTGGTTGTCATCCTTTTGGTCATCACCATCCTCCTCATCGTTCTCTGATTGGTCCAAAGCTTTCACTACTAAATGTTGTTTTGAACCAGATTTTCTGGACTCTTCTAGACTGCAGTGGACCATAATGGAGTCCTCTGGACCATAATGGAGTCCTCTGGACCATAATGGAGTCCTCTGGACCCCTGGGTTCTGAAAGGTACTAAAGTGGGCTGAATCAGACTCTTCTAATAACTTTCTGAGTGTTAAGCATCATTTCAGAGGTCACCCACCACAGAAGACAAAAAGGGTGACAATGTTTTTGTATTTGTGTATGTTCATTGTGCGTCTGTTATTAAATTATTTTATAAACCACTAGAAAAATCTCAACAATAGTCTCAGGCAGTATCAGTGATCTATAACTGAATAATAACCATATAGCTAAGCAACCCCAGAAACCATAACAACGGCTATAATTTAGTCCAGTTTTACAGATGCTGACCTAAATTTGTTGTGGTAGTAGCTGAGAGTCATCCACAACACAAACTCCTGATGAGATATCAGATTTCACATCATCACATCCGTTAGTTAGATCAAAACATGAACCACTTCAGTTTTCAGCATAAAATGCTTTATGCTGAAAACCCAAGATGTTTTAATCTGAACCTGTCGTTAAAAGGGGCAGGTACAGTGGGCTGTGAAAGTCTTGTTAATTTTCCTGATTTACTTTTATAAATCATTGACTGTTTGGATTAAATATATCATATGTGAGCCGTCACATCGAAACCAGGATTCAGTCTAAAAGTTGTTTATGGACAAAAAGGCAAATATAGTGTTTTGACTAAAGTGTTAACAAAAATTGCAT